TTGGAACGGCCCGTTCTCAACTCTGGAACGGCCCGTTCTAAATTTTGGAACGCCCCGTTCCCATCTAAAACTTGTGGACAATTTTTGTAGTTTGGAACGGCCCATTCTAGTTTGGGAACGGCCCGTTCTGGGATACAAAATTACTTTCATTTTAGTAGTTTGGAATGGCCCGTTCCGATTTGGGAATGACCCGTTCTGGGCTACTAAATTACCCCTATTGGGCCTTTGGGCCCTCAAACAATCTGTGAAAATCGGGCTATTACAATTCTCCCCTCCTTTTAGAAATTTTGTCCCCGAAATTCACCTGAAAATAGAAATGGGTAGACTCCTTACGTCTTGCTTTCTAATTCCCATGCAACCTCATCACCTTATTGATGTACAAATCTATCAATTTCTGCAAGGAATATCTATTATCAATAAGAGTAAGACAAGCAAACTTGGTGAGTCTATCCACTATAACCCAAAAAGAATCAATTTCTTAAGCATCTCAGACAAACCTATAACTAAGGTCTATCTACACACCATGTCGCTTCCAAAATGAGACGTCTAAAGGCTACAAAATTCATAAAGACTTTGAGCATACTAAACACGAACTCACAAATTACTCTATTCCTCTCTTCACCTAAGGCCACTACGCTTCCTCTGCACCACTCTGATACATCTTAGTAGCTCCTAAATGAATGTTAAGAGTACTCTTATGTCCTTCCTCTACGATCATCTTCCTTAATTCAGGATTACTAAGCACTCAAGTTTTGTTCTTGCACCTCAAAAAAACGTCGATTCCTACTCAGCAAAGGTTATCTATACTCCTACCAATCTTCTCCACTTAGTTCACTAAGAAAGGCTCTGACTCCTAGACTTCTCTAATGTCATCCATTAATTCACTAGTCACTTTTAACATAATCAATTCAATGCTCCTAAGGATAATCTCACACACCAAGCATAAGTCTCTAAATTCTTCAATCAAATCCAGCTCTTAAATCATCAAAAATGATATATCAAAGATCATCATAATCAAGGCATCTACCACAATATTGGTTTTACTTTTATGATCATCTCTAAAGATCAAGCATCTAAGCGTAAGTTGACTAGGTATACATATCAGATCTCTAATTTGAGCCAAAAAGATTCATCTCTCTGATCATAAGGAAAGACAAATGCAAAGATTTCCTACTTAAAGCATCAGCCACCACATTGCCTTTTCCCTTATTATAACTAAGAGCAAAATCATATTCCTTAATTAACTCTAACCATCTCCTTTGCCTCATATTTAATTCCTTTTGGTCAAATAAATACCTAAGACTCTTATGATCACTAAACACTTCAAATTTTGAACCATACAAATAATGTCTCCAAATCTTAAGTGAGAATACTACAGCTGCTAATTCAAGATCATGGGTGGGATAATTCTTCTCATGTATTTTCAATTGCCTAGATGCATAAGATACGACCTTTCCTTTTTGCATTAACACTCCACCCAAACCCATCTTAGAAGCGTCACAATAAACCACAAAATTGAGAGGATAACCGCCTAGACAAAAGTGAAGTTTAAAGAGACACAAGGATTAACAACCTTTGGAGCCCAATCCTTCTTCATCAAACTTTGGTCTTAAGATTCTTTTTCTTTCATGACTTGGGGGTTTGAAAGATTTTGTTCCCCACTTGTTAGAATCTCAAATCCAAAATTTGTGGCAATATGGAAGATAGTAACTAATAATATACTTTATTATTAAATAGTTAGCATTAAGAATTTAATATACATTTATTAGTAACTAATAATATACATTACAAGTCTTCATTGTGTCAATTGTTGTTCATTTATATTATATTTAAAAATAATTTGTTTGATAAATTTAATAATAATGAATTCATTTTTTTGAACAATTACTATTAAATAATTTAAAGAAGTCAATTTTAATAATTTTTTAAAATTATATATTTTAATATTAATATATGTACCGGAGGGACCGTATCGGTCACGTGAACCAACATGTGCAGTCCCGTCAGACACCCAAGCATATTGAATCACGCCCATATGAACCTTGACGTTAGAATCGGCTCGGCAGGCAGCCGAAGGCCGAGAACAGTCTACTAGCAACTATCGGTTCGGTTTCAGGCCGATACAGACAAAACCACCCATCGAATCGGCTCGGTCGAATGCCGAACAAGTGAAATACCCGAGTAAAGCATATGTCGGCCTGGTCAACAGCCGAAGACATACAGCTTCCCGGTCCTTGATCAGTCGGCTCGGCCACTCGCCGAAAGGTAGAACGGATTATAATGCTAATCACGATTAAGAAAGGTAAACACGTGATTTAGGCCTAACAACCGATTAACATCGTATTACCTAATTTGGTAAACATCTGAGAAGGCCCACCATGACCAGGCCCACGTCAAGTACTATAAGTAGGTCACACATAACGAGGTATGTCACTGTTCAATTTTACCCTAAATACTCGTGTTAATACTGACTTGAACGTCGGAGTGCCTTTTGCAGGTACCTCCCCCCTTTTCGAAGAACACAGTAAAAGCTCATGTTCGGTCCCTTCATTATCCTGAAGATCACAAATGTGCCCAGAGACAGGTACAATATATATTAAAAATTAGTTTTTTTAGTTTATTTTTTTTATATTAATGTATATTAAAAATATTAAATTAGCCATTATTAAAATTAGTTTATATTTAATATTGATGTATATTTATAAATTTTGTTATAAAATATTTGTACAATGGATAAAATTTATTATTTTAAATGTTAAAATAATTTTTTTAAGGATTTCAAGATAAAGTAATAATATCATCCATTTCAACATTATTTCCAACAACATCCCCTAATTCACCATAAACACCCACAACTTCATCATCCATCCCATATTCATCTTTTATCTTCGAAGTCAATAGATATATCATCAAGACCCTAAAATAAAATAAAATAATATTTATTGATAGGACATATTTTATAACAATAAAAATTCAACATAGTGCAAAGAAATTATCGAATTATAATGGTTGCATATTGATTAAACCATACCTTATCTGATCTAAACGTTGATTCACTTCATTCTTCACCCCAACTTGGACCCTCAACACTTTTCTCTATTGACATTTATTTTTTCTTCCAATTTTAAACTACCTGTAAAACAAATGTTTTCAAACACACGCTTAATCAACAACCATGAATCTAATTAATACAAACTATTATACAAAGTTATAAGTCAATGGTTATTCATACTCTTCCAATATGAAAATTACGTCCGACATACGGTTAAATAAATACGGGTGCTAACGAAATACATTACGTACATGTCTTATAATTTAGTAACAGAGGAACAACGTTGATGACACCTGAGACTAATTGCAATTAATTATGTTGCCTCAAAACATCTGAAACAATTATCATTTCACCAGAATCAAGCGAAAAACTAAACATTTATGCTCATCATGTAACATTATGAAAAGAGTGGGACACATGAATTCCCTAAAATGATTTCGACAAAAAAAAATACACTGATTAGAGTTTACCTCTAAGAGCATCTACAATGGGAGTTGCTTATAAGCAACTCCCAACCACTTTAAATGGGTCCTACTATGCCACGTCACTTTTAAGCAACTCATACTATATTTTTATAATTTTTACTCCAATAGAAGTTTCTTATAAGCACCCCTACTTTTTTACAACTCATACTACACTTTTTGACACCTCACACTATACTTTATTATAAATTTTTTAAAAATTAATTATTATGAATAATATATATATATATATAAATAACAAATAAAAAATTATAAAATAGAAATACTGAAAATGTGTTTAATTTAATTATTTTTTAATAAAATTTTACAAAATGTATTTTTTATTATAAAATATAAAAAATAAAAATAAAAAATAAAATATAAAAAATAAAAACAGAAAATAAGATATAAAAATAAAAAATAAACGTCTCTCTCTCGTCCCCTCTTTCTCTTTCAAGCTCTCTTTTTTATCTCTCAATCTCTCTCTCGTCTCTCATTCTCTCTGGTGGCTGGTGGCTGGTGGCTGGTGGGTGGTGGGTGTTGGGTGTTGGCTGTGGCTGGTGGCTGGGGGCTGCGCGCGGCTGGGTTTCTGGTCGGGGGTTGCGCGCGGCTGAGGGGTTGCTCGCGGCTGACGGGGTCGGTCAAGGGTTGCGCGCGTAGGGGGAGGGGGTTCCGGTCGGAGTCGTGCGCGCAGGGGGAGGGTATTCCGGTCGGAGTCGCGCGCGCAGGGGGAGGGGGTCTGGTCGGAGCTGCGCGCAGGGGGAGGGGGTCCGGTCGAGTGCTGCGTTTGGGAACGGGTTCGCGCGGGGAGGGGGTTTTGGCGCGGGGGCTGTCGGGACTGATTGTTTGGAGGGTTCCACGTAGATCTGATTCAACCAATCAAATGCTTCTTCTCGGTGCTAAGCACCGTTGCTTGCAGAAGCAACAAAGAAAAATTTTTAAGCAACTGGGTTGCCACGTAAGTTCACTCCAACGAGAATTTCTTACAAGAACCGTTCCTTAACGTTAAGCAACCCAGTAAGCACCTACCGTTGGAGGTGCTCTAACTCGACAAATAATACCCCATTCTTCGACCCTTAGCTACATGATTAACAGTGCCTTCTCGAAAAACATTAACTCTTGACCAAGAACAACACAAGTAGAAGTATCTTTTGAATCTTAGATACATAAAGCGAAAAAACAAAAAAAAAAAACAAAAACAAAAAAACTTCCGACTGCTTCAAAAACGAGTAAACCCTCACATATAAGAAATACACTCGTATTTCATTTTTAAAAGAAAAATAAAAAAAATGGTTACATTTAATATTTTACATTATTAATATTGGTTAAAATTTAACATTTAACTGAACTAATTTTATAACCAGTAACTTACGATATTTTCATTTGTTCATGTGAACCATATAATGAAAATGTGCAGGGTAGCAATCCTCTACAAAATGTTTCAAATTTAAGAGTCTTAAAACATTTTAAGAGATTCCATTTTGGTTCAAAATAAGCGTGTGAAACTGATTTCTGCTTGCTAATTTTAGTTCGGAATGCAGGGTGCCTCTCCTCCCTTCCATTCGTTGTCAACTGTTAGATCCCCAGCTTCTCAGCCATAGAAACTAGTCAAATTGATAAAACAAAAATGTGCCCAAATATATCCTAAAAATTGCGTTGTTTTTGGAACATTTGTTTCCTGTATATGAGTGGGAAGCCATAAAACACCATACTTTTGGGCGCTTGGCATGAGTTTGGGAAGAGAAATCATAGAATAGTAGAAAGCAGTGTTTTAATTTTGATCAAAAGATCAGAGAAAAAACGGGTAATGGAAGGATTGGATGGTTTGATAGAGAGGCTTCTGGAAGCGAGAAAGACGAGAGGCAAACGAATTCAACTGGTAGAGTCCGAAATTCGCAGCCTCTGCACCATGGCTAAAGAAATCTTCCTCGGCCAGCCAAACCTACTGGAATTGGAGGCTCCAATCAATGTTTGCGGTAATCCATATGATTTTAATTTTAGTAAAACTAATAAATTTATCATCTCTTTAAAAATGAAAAACAAAACAAAAAAGAAGAAAATTGAGTCGTTTTACATAGTCTTAGAATATATCTAAAGAAATTTTACAGGAGACATACACGGTCAATACCCGGACCTGCTGCGAGTGTTTGAGTACGGAGGGTTTCCGCCGGATTCGAATTACCTATTCCTAGGGGACTACGTGGACAGAGGAAAACAGAGCGTGGAAACAATAAGCCTGCTGCTTGCTTACAAGATAAAGTTCCCAGAAAACTTTTTCCTACTCCGAGGAAACCACGAGTGCGCCTCCATCAACAGAATCTACGGTTTCTACGACGAGTGCAAGCGCAGATACAGCGTTCGTCTCTGGAAGATATTCACGGACTGCTTCAACTGCTTGCCCGTGTCAGCGGTCATCGATGACAAAATCCTCTGCATGCACGGTGGGCTTTCCCCTGACATGGAGAGCCTGAATCAGATCAAGGCCATAGAGAGGCCCATCGACGTGCCGGACCAGGGCCTCTTGTGCGACCTCCTTTGGGCCGATCCGGACGCCGAGATCAGAGGCTGGGGCGAGAACGACAGGGGTGTCTCCTACACTTTTGGGGCCGACAAGGTGGCCGAGTTCTTGAAGAAACACGATCTCGACCTCATTTGCAGGGCCCACCAGGTCGTCGAAGATGGCTACCAATTCTTCGCCGACCGCCAGCTAGTTACGATCTTCTCAGCGCCCAACTATTGCGGAGAGTTCAACAACGCCGGTGCCCTCATGTGCGTCGACGAAACTTTGCTCTGTTCCTTTCAGATTATCAAACCCTTGAGAGCCAAACCCACATAAATAAATATAATATCTTCATTTCTTCCAACCTTGTAAATTTTCCCCATTACCTCCAAATCTGTATATATATCCCTACTCCTATCCCTATCTGCGCACAACACAACTAATCTTCCTTATATATACATTTCATTTGTGGAGGACGACGTCGTTATTGTTCTTTTGTATAGAGAATTTTCATATACTTATGATTATGAAACATTTAACTATTTGTTTGCCTAATACTAGTTAACTATAGTGGGCTACTATCAACCTATGGATTAAAAATATCGCTTATTTTGCTAATGGGGAACCACTTCAACCTATAAACAGCCACCAGCTTGTTCTGCTATATTACCACCATATCATTATATAATCTTGCTGGCATCAAAATGGTACCAAGCGGATACCAGACGTACACCTTGGAAGTAATTAATAAATAAAAAATTCACAATTTTTACACCGCTAAGGTGACAAGTGTCACCGTGTCTTTAACCTCTCCGAAACCAGCCAAATCAGTCACCCCGAAACAAAATTTGCCTCAAACAAATTTCCCCTTCTTTGCGTTTTCCCAGGAAACAAAACACCGAAAAAAAAAACTAAAATACTTTAAATAATTTCTTTTTTCTTCTAACTTTGATTGAAACCCAGAAAAATATTAAAAATAAAATTTACGGGTCTAGTTGCAAATTAACAACAATAATTAGCATTTCTAATTCCTTAATAATCACAAATGAAATAATAATAAAAATTGTGGAAAAAAAAATAGTATGAAAATTACTCGTTCTGAATCCT